TGCACGATATGCTTAAGGTAAACCAGTAGTACCCGAATGGTGGCGTGTAGATCACTTCTCGGCCTTTTGGCTAAGATCAAGGGCAAATTCTGATCTGTAGATCCTTGGGAAGTCCAAGACCCTTTCAGGGGATCTGCATATTAGCATTTTGCATCATAATATTAAAAAATCATTTGCATCTTTTACTTTGTTGACCTTTACAATGATAGTGTAAAACTAATGGCTAATGAGCAGCTAGACATTCGCCTGAAACCAGGCAATGGCACCGGTCTGTGCTCTACCTCCATGCACTCAACAGGGAAACGAAAAGCCAGTTTTATTGAAGAGAGTCTTTGATAAAGCAGTAAATAATATTAATTTCATTAAACATCAACTCTTGAGTATACGTCTCTTTAATATTCTGAGTGAAGAAAAGCAAAGCGCACAGGCTGCTGTGCACCAGGCTGCCCTGGTTGTCCAGAGGGAAAGCTTTCACACGATGGAGGTGGGGCTGGCCTGGCCACTTCATCAGGAACATCATTTTTACTTGAAAGAACAAGGAATGGACAAACTACTGTTGGAAGACATACATTTTATTTTCTTGAAAAATGAGTAAAGTCACTATAGTAAACACTGACAGTTTTTGTTGCTTGTGATACTACCTGAGCTTTCAACAGAAAATTTTTTAAAGATTTTATTTATTTATTTTTTTTAGAGAGGGAAGGGAGGGAGAAAGAGAGAGAGAGAGAGAGAGAGAGAGAGAGAGAGGGAGAAACATCAATGTGCGGTTGCTGAGGGCTGTGGCCTGCAACCCAGGCATGTGTTCAGGCTGGGAATCGAACCTGCAATGCTTTAGTTTGCAGTCCATGCTCAATCCACTGAGCTGTGCCAGCCAGGACAACAGAAAGTTAAAAATTTGGAAAACTTTATTTGCTGCCATAACTGGGACAGCCTCCCAATATTTGGAGACTTTTTGCATGAGATTGGTGGTGATTTTAATGATTGTGATTCTTAAATATGGAATAATGAAATATATGAACATTTGGAAAACCTGCATAACTCAGTGAACAGACACATTTACCAAACGATCAATTTATAAGTTCACGAATAATTGTAAAAGATGCATTTAAATAGTAAGATAGATGAATTAATTTTAATGCAAGAGTATACATACAGGGTTCATCCCTATTGTTTTAGATTCAACATTGCAACTTACCTTAAAAATATTGCTATTTGTCAAGTTTTGATGTCATATCTGAGGATACCTAAAAAGACTATTAAAATATTTCTCCATTTCTCAATTACACATGTGTTTAAGGCCAGATGGTATATATGCAGCAGGAAACAGATCGTAGAGATGTGCAAACATAAAAAAACACCACATCCCACAAAAAATAATGTTATTAAGTTGCCAAGTCATTGCATTATTATTTCAAATGAATGAATACAATTTAAAATCTTTTTCAGTCAGCTCTTATTTTTTATTTTTTAAAGATTTTATTTATTTATTTTTAGAGAAGGAAGGGAGGGAGAAAGAGAGAGAGAAACATCAATGTGTGGTTGCTGGGGGCTGTGACCTGCAACCCAGGCATGTGCCCTGACTGGGAATCGAACCTGCGATGCCTGGTTCACAGCCTGAGCTCAATCCACTGAGCTACGCCAGCCAGGGCAGCTTTTATTTTTTTAATATGGCAAATATTGGTAGGTGTATCTTTCATGTACAACTTTTTTGAAGTTCTCAATAATTTCTAAGGGTGCACAGAAGTCCTTTACACGTACAAAAAGGATCTGAGAACTACTTGTACAGAAAACTGGGAAGGTACTGAGTCCTGTGTGAAAGTCCTGTGTTCAGACGTCTGCACCCGTGTTTTGCGTTGTGGAAGGAGAGTAGCAACAACATCCTGTGACCTCACAGTGGCCCAAGTAACACTCCTGCCTCTGCTGCTCCTTGCTATGGCGTCGTTTACAGTGGAAACAATAGGCATTGCTTGGATGAAATATGTTTCAGGATGTCAAACCCGAAAACATCTATCATCTTCTGATCCAAACAGCTCACGTTTAAAATAGAAGTCACAATTTCAATGGACTATCAAATGTTATTCAATTGGTTGGTGCCATAGTTTCTTTGTGAAACTGAATCTCACATCTCCTAATGTGATGCTACATGGCTAATAGCCATAATTCAGGCCTGGGGCTCAGAAAGGAATTTTGGTTAAATGAAGGTTTGGGGTGTGTCTGTGGGCACACAGAATAATTAAATCTCTGAAACTCAGTCAGGAAACTGTAGAAAGCTGACGCAGGTCAAGTAAGAGAGCACAGGATGAAACCTTAGTTAATGCCTATCAAGCATCAAAATCGGAAGCCAGGAGAAAAGTACTCAAGTTTTCTGAATATCCACAACAGTTATATTCAGAACCATTGCATTATATTAGGAAGATCTACATAAGTGTAGAGCTTAGGCACTATGCTGTTAACATAATTTAACACATCCTGTTGCCATAACAACCCTGCAAAGCAGGCATTTTCTCCTGTATGGAGGAGGAAGTGAAGGTCTAGAGAGGTGAAATCCACTTCCAGGTTCACACACACACATCACACAGCCCCACATCAAAGGCGGGGTTTGAATTTCAGGCCTCCCTGAGAAGATGTGATAGACGCAGGATTTCACCTCCGGCTTTAAATTCTGCTAGCCTCTTCCCTACTCTCTTTTTGGGGGGCTGGGGATGGAACGGATAGAAATGCGTGGGTGTGTCATTAGCTTTAAAATTCATCCCCAGTCAGGGAACAGGTTACTGTGGCTTTATGGGCCATAAAGTACAAGGAGGCAAACAAATGTGTTTTTGCTTAATAAAGAGACCCAGTTTTACTAAAAGTTCTCATTGTTTGGACTAATAGCAGAGGAAGAGTTAAATACAACCGAAGAATGGCCCGCAATCCTGCATTACATATCATTCATGCAAGTTTAGAGCTGAGATTAAGGGTCCTCGTGGGGTCCCACAGCTGAACACTCTACATCCACAATTTCCACTCTAGCCCTTAGAGCTGTGTAATCCACGTGATAGGCCAGAGCACCTAGGTTAAATATAGTCTATATTTTAAATTGTGGTTTAGCATTTTAAAACTACCCTAAAACTAAAAACTCCAGAAGCAAGAATCTGATTAAGTGAGATGAAATTATGTTCTAAAACTTAAGCCAGTTCTTGAAGAGTGGAATCACTCAACGCAGGGTTCAAAGGCTGAACGAAGCCCTGAGGGTTTGTAGGGGGGAAACTGATAAGTGCTTCTCCCTGAGCGACCTCAAGTCTTTAGGCCAAGGAAATGCAGGCCAGAGGTGCAACCGCTCAGTCTGGGTGGGATGGGGGTAGGGGTGGGGGTGGGGAACGGAAACGGGTAGTGCTTTGCAGGTCGGCCGGCCCCTGAGGACTGGTTTGGTTGATTACTTGATATTGCAAAATACTTGTTTGACCTCTAATCACATCCCCTCACCCCCGCCACACCACACCCTGCGCGCGACGTGTTGAAAATCAACGCTCCCGGTTGATTGGACTTTTCTGTTTTGACTTGGTCATTATTGTTCTAGATAGGGGATAAGGAGCAAGAATCCAGAGTTCAAGGCTTAATCGAGTTTGCAAGAGGGGTCCAGAGCTCAGCGGAACCTTGAAAAGAAAAGAAAGAAATCTTTTTACTCTGTAATAATTGCGGCGAAATCACCAAAGGCCACTCACTCATTTTTTCCTAAACAGTGCCACCTACTGTCCATTTTAAATCATCATGAGGTCTGTTGGCGAGGACCAAAAAGAAATAAAGGGGCGGGGCAGGGGGGTTAGTAATCGAGAAAACTAGCTCTTTTCAGCCTTGGGGGCAATGGGAGAAAGATGAGGAAAGGCCCTCTTGAAGCAAAAATAAGTGTTTTGACTCGTCTTCATAGAAGGCTCAGGAGAAGCAAAAGCCACTTAAGCCATTCCTTTAGAAATGGCTTTCTAAGGCGCGCTATTTTCGAGTCCCCCAGAGGATTATTTTTATTGTATTGTATTTTATTTATAATGCACGCCATTCGCGTGTTTTTCCGTTATGGCACCAGGTTAAGAAAAAAAAAAAACCCTGATAATTTTTCCAATTTTCCCGCCCACCCAAGGCGGAGACGTCTGTGTCAGAGGTACTTGAACACTTGACAGAAGCTCAGCAACTTCTGACTTGGAGGGAAGAAAGGGTTAACAAGTGGTGGATGGACCAGCCGCCGGCTTTTTAGTCTCAGCCGGCTTTCGGAGACCCCCGGGAGTGTGTACACACACACACACACACACACACACACACACACGCACCCCTCCAGCTAGCTCTCTCCCCAGGGCGGCTACTTAGCCTCAGGGCACCATTTGGCCTTAAAGCAAATTGCTTACACTCTACGGGGGAGTGCGATCGCAAAGAGGGGATCCTTGTAACTAGTGCGGGAATCAGGGATGTCCACAAAGCGTGGTCTCCCGGCTCCACCGCTGGGGAAAGGAGGGACTCAGGTGGTGGCCAGCCTGCGTGCCCTGCATCTCAGCACACGTTAGCAATCAAGTTAATTGAATTCATTGGAGTTTAGAACCGGCCTGGAGCTCAGAGAGGGCTTTGAATGGCCAATTTCTCTCCCCCTCCCCGCCTCCCGCCCGCCCGCGCTCTCAGTCCCCTCCCTCCGCAGGGTTCCCCAGTCCGCACCTCCCTTCTCCACTCCCCTCACCCCCCACTCCTTCCTCCGCCCTATTAAAACACCCACCAGCTCACTAGTTAAGACCCCCTTAAGTTGGAGGAGGCAGAAAGGCAACAACTGCGAGGAAGGAGAAGTCAGGACGTCTGGAAAGAATTACCCAGTCCTGGCTTCCAGCAGCCCATTGAACCAGGGACTTGAACCAGCCCCAGCCAAAGACTTTCTCCCGATTCTGCGCCTCCAGGGTTCTGCTGAGGCTTTACCGGGCTTTTTTTTTTTTTAATACGAAAAAGTGAAGAGACTTTCTGATATCAGGGGAGAAGGACTGGAGCAAACGAAATAAAAATAAAAACAAATTAATTTATTTTTAAAGTACAAATTTTTCTTTTAAGAATCAGGAGACTTAAGTGCAACGGAAATAGCAGAGAATAGTGGTGAAATTTCCTTTTAGAAAGTGGGGGAGAACCAAACCTTTAGACTCCCCCATCCTTTTTTAAATGTTGTTTTTAAATTTTTTATTTTTTTTGGCCGGTCGTCTCAAATTCATCTGATTTCTTATTACCTCAATTTTGGAAACTGCCCGCCACCGGCCCTCCGGGACCACACATACAGGCTGAGGACAACTTCATGACCGAGAGCTGAACAAGGTACGTTACACTGGCGCGTTTGGTGAAGGATGAGGGTCCTCCAATAGGCCAAGGAGAGGGAAGAAATGATCCACATCAGTGTTAAAAAAAAAAGTCTTTATAGTCCGTTCTCGACAGCAAAGTCTGAGGTCTGAAAATTTCCAACAGACTAAAAAAAAAAAAAATCAGTGGATGTTTCAGATCACTGTCAGGCTTAGCGACATCTTTCCCCATCCCTGCGGCGCTCTCCCGAACTCCTCTGCCTTGCTGGGAACACAGGTAACCTCTGTGCCCGGGAAAGACTGCCGTACGGAGATGTACTTTTCCATTCCGCATCTTCTGGAGCTGCAGCGGGGCTCCCGGGTTAGGAAACAAGAATTTCCACTGTGTAAGGAAAGCCTATCCGCGCAGCCGCCTTCTTCCCCCTTCCTATCCCTTTTCTTCTCTTTCTCACACACTCGAGATGGGGAGGAGAACCCTGGAGCAGCCCAGCGTGTTTTACTTACAAGTGGGAAGTCGCTTCTGACTTGTAATGCAAAGGGTTAAAGCGTCCCGGGCTCCCAGATGGGACCCCAAAGAAGGAGGGTCCTTTCCCCACCTCCTCGCAGCTACCGGCCTCGTCCGGCCACACCCCCTCTCTCCAGCCTCTCTTCCCTCGCGCTGCCTGCACCCCATTAAAGTGTCAGGCTGGGTCTGTCGCAGCCCAGCTCAGCCCCGGAAGCCCTCCCCAGGCCCGGGGTCCGGGACGCGAGCGGTGGCTGTCCCAGACCCCAGCGGAAGGAGGACGAGCATCCCTCCGCTCGGCTCCGGGCCCGCCCGCCGGCTGTCCCGGGGCAGGGCCGGCCAGGGGACCGCGCGCCGCGCGCCGGCAGCTGCAGCGTCCCGGGAGCCAATTCCGACGTGGCACGGAGCACGCCGTAGCTCCTTTCCACAGCTGCAGCCGGGGGGGACGGCCGGGTGGGGGTTTGGGGGCGCCGTCCCCGTCACCCAGCCCGAGGGTGCGGGAGGGGGTCGGCGAGAGCCGGGGCGAAGGTGGGAAGCGAGCCAGAAGCTGGGTTGGGAGGGATAATCAACACCTTGGGCGGAATTCGTCACGCCGGTTCCCGCCCTGCGAGAGCCGGGGCTCCAAAACGGGTCCCTGTGAACAGGAGGGCGGGTCTGAAAGGAGGGTCTGTGTGAGGGCGAGAACGGGGAGGCGAGGGAGGCTTTTTCCTCCAGCCAAGGAAATGCAGCCGAGGGGAAACGGCGCTGAAAGGATAATTAAGGCTGGAAAGAGGAGCTGGGAGCGGAGAGGCGGTGCCTGGGGAGGAGGCTTTACAAGACCCGGCTCCTATTACACAGTCGGAGGTGCCAGCTTCCCCCGTGCCGGTCCCTCCGTCCCCTAAACGCCCGCGCTCGGCACTGGGACTCCCCCGCCCCGTGCGCCTCCCGGGGGCGAGCGTGCAGCTAGAGCCGCGCTCCCGGGAGTTGCGGAGAGGAGCCACTGGTGGGAGCCCTGACGGCCCCTCCCTGCCCTGCTCTCCACCTTTGGGGAGCGGGGAGCAGGGAGCGCTGCTGCGGGTGTCCGTCTACCTTCAGGCTGCCCAGAAACCCAGCGTTCTTCCGACCCACGTCGCTGGCCTGGGAGTGCCTTTGACGTCACACCCCGGGGGGAGGTGTGATGCAATAGGTCGGGAAGTCCTCATTGGCCACGAAGGGCTTCCCCAAACTCGAGGTCTGAGTATATATATAGACTCACAGCTCTGTGTTACAGCGAGGCAAGTTGGTAGTTAGGTTTTGCTGACAAGTGAGGAGGTTGATAAGTGGGAGAGAGCAACTTCTCTCCCCATTGTATATTGCAGGGTTTTTTTTTGTTGTTGTTTTGTTTTTCCTCCTGTAGATTTTATTGCAGTGAAGGCCCATGATAATGTACCTTTAGAGATGTTAAATGGAATTACGATATTTTTTTTAAAAAAAAGCCATTTTAACAAAATTTTTAAAGAACACATCAAACGTGTCAAACAATGAAAGGTTTAAAATTAAAATGTGTATCTCTATAGAATTGGCTAGAACAAATACATATGCCCATCAAAACTATTTGTAGATACAATTTTAAATTTTACAGAATAGGGTTGACAACTCTAAATTCTACAGTTTTCATTCAAGTGTGTGCAAGTTGACACATTCATTATATTAGTTTCCACTGCATTTTTTAAAAGGCAAAATAAGTGATTACTCATACAATGGAGGTGGTTTTAATACCCATCACAACCAGTCAAAGGTTTTTCTAATATTTTGGCAATTCTTTTTACATTTTCGATAAAAGTTTAACTATTTAAGGTACCTATTTTAGTATGTATATTATGCTGTATATATGATTGAAAATTCAAAACAATTTTAGAATTCTAAGTAGACATTTCTGGATTACAAGATTACAGTTGGGACACCATCACTCATTTTTTTCTTTTAATTTATATATTAACCAAGTTGAATGAATAGAAAAATGTATTGTAGATATATTGATAAAACATACTAGAAAGTAAACTAAATTGTGTAATTACTTTTGTTAAGTTTATAGATTATCCCCATTATATTGAATTTCATGAATACTTTTTCACACATGGCTTCCTTACCATCTAAGATTTCTTTCAAAATGATTTTTTTCTTGAATTTTAAACACACTTTCTACTGTTTCATTTGTTTTCTATTATCGGCACTATGGGGAAAGTCCTTATCTCTGGATCAATGTCAAGACCCCCTCTGGCAAAGTTACATTACAGTTTTATATTTTTTAAAAGTCATTACCTGAGGATATGTTTTGAATTTGGAGAGGGAGGGAGGGAGGGAGGGAGGGAGAAAGCGAGTGAGAAGCATCGGTCAGTTGCCTGATCCGTTGCCTCCCTGACAAACATCGGATTGGTTGCCTCCCATATATGCCCCAACTGGGGATCAAACCCACCACTAGCCACGTGCCCTGACCAGGGATCAAATCCGAAGCCTTTTGGTGTACAGGACAATGCTCCAACCGGCTGAGCTACCCTGCCAGGGCCACAGTTATATCTGAATTGAAGAATAATTTGTCTGTTACATTGTTAGCTTCCTGACTTTTGCATAATGTGTGTGGGGGGAATGAGTCAATGAAGTTGGAGAATAGAGCATAAAGCCCACTGTCCCATTTCAGGTTCTTTTTTTAATCCATGTACAAGGCTGTGTTCCACTGAGAGGCTGCAAGAACAGAGTCAGTGGCAGCTGGTATGACAGCTCAATGGGGAGGTGGGGGACAGGTCTCTGTAGAAAAATCACTTCCATCACTCCACCTTGGCTATGATCCTTTTCCTGTCTAGCAGCAATTGGCATAAAATAAGTATCATCCCATTGCATATACCTTAAATTATTCAAGTCTATTTTGAATTTACCAATGTGGACATCATATACTGCCTGACCCAAAATCTAGAAAAATATTACTGATACAGGAGTCAAAATAAATATTACAGAGTCATACTGTTAAGTATTGTTTAAAGAAATATTTACAAGGGAATGCCGTGTAAATGCATGCATCTGTACTGCACATTGAAATAAAGAAGATGCAGTCTGCATTTTAATGGAACTCAACGGCACAGAAAGTCTTTAGATATGAGCTGACCCATAAGAAATGTAAAATAGCTACCAGTGGTCACATGTCTGACAGATCTGAGGCACTGAGTCAGGTACTTCACTGTATCATGTCCAAGCCCCTACTCTGCCCCTCCTCCCCCAAAGCAACCTTATAAATGCAGGAGCCTTGCCCAGAAAGATTAATCAAGTCATACAAAGTCACAGTGCTAGTAAGGAGTATGAATGAAATTTAATTCAAGAAGTCATAAATATAATGTCCCAGAAGTGGACATGCCGCAGTTGGATTAGTCAAATTTTATGGGGCTTAAATTGAGGAGAAATCATATCTGAGAGATCAGGAACATTTCCTGAAGAAACTTGACATTTGTGGTACCTGTGGCCCCATAGGGTTTTGGTCTACAAAAATAGTGCCCAGGAGCCCATGGAGAAACATAGAGCTGAGATTCCGTGTCAAGTCTTTTTGTAATGTTCCCCTTTGCCACACTGAACTGCAGGATGAAATTCAGGAACCCACAGGGCAGCTGGGAAAATTGGCATCCTAGGAGCAGTTGATCAACATTGATGGTGCAAATGAAGAGAAATCTAAAACTTAAAGGTCTGGATGCGGACACAGCTGTGGGGGGATAAGGCCTTTGAAAGGCTTACTGCCCAGCCCTGCACGCACAGCTCCAGGGTCTGTGCTGGAACAACTATAGTGGGGCTGGAGGGAAAAGGGCCGACTTCAAAGCCTATACATACTATGGGAACCAGAGTGCACTCTTCCCACAGGTCAAGCTTTGCTGCTTCATTTTATCTTAACTGGGCATTTTGATTTCTGGACTTGTAAATCTGTGCTGACTCCCATCTGGGTGGGACTTACTTATAAGGACAGCTGTGTAACATCATTGGTTTTATTGATCTAAGTAAGGAATCAAGCATACCTCAGACTTAAGTCTCTGCCTCACACTGTATTAATCATTCCTCCCTCTCACACCCGAATTGAACCTTTATTCTCACAGACAACGTAAAATTCGACTGAAAGGCATAGATTTCTAAGTAAGATAAAAAATTTTTTTCCCTAAATTTTACCTAGAACTTAAAATTGGGCATGAATAAACTTAAAAAATGCATGGTTTTATTTAAGATTTTATTTTTGTTAGAAGAAAATCGTAACCAGTTATTTAAATTAGTACAAGTATCTATAATGCATATGTACAAAACAAGTTGCTTAATAGGTTGTCTTGGAGGACCATGTTGAACTATTAAGAAAAACTTAACACAATTAAAATAAAAGAGAAAGAAAAACTTAACTAAAAAATGAAAAAAATGCAAAAGACAAATGCCCTAATGTTCTGATAAGATAGTGAAGGAGGGATAATGAGGAATGTCTGTTTTTTTTTTTAATTTTACTTATTTATTTTTAGAGAGGGAAGGGAGGGGGAGAGAGA